GGCCGGCCCAGAAGCTCACATTATTGATTTGAGACTTTTACCATGTTCTAATTGTGCATTTAGAGTGCTATAAACGTCTCTATCAGCACTGTTGTAACTCTGTCCCACAAATTTCAACATTTTCATTTTTATTCAGTTCAATGTGTTTTTTTTTAAATTTCCCTTGAAACTTCCTCTTTGAGTCAATGGATTTTTAGAAGAGTGTGGTTTAGTTTCCAAGTATTTGGATATTTTCCTGTTATCTTTCTGTTATTGGCTTCTAGTTTGACTCTATTATAGTCAGAGAACACATTTTATATGATTTCAATTCTTTTCAATTTTTCAGATTGTTTCATGGCTCATGATAATGGTCCATCTTGGTAAATGTTCCATCAGCACTTGAAAAGAATGTATATTCTTGTGTTGTTGGGTGGACTGTTCTATAAATATCAATTTGATTTGTTGGTTGATGGTGTTGCTGAGTTCTCCTATATTCCTGTTGATTTTCTGTTGAGTTTTTCTATCAAGTATTGAAAGAGGGGTATGGAGGTGTCAGGTTATAACTGTGGATCTCTCCTTTCAGTTCTATCTTTTTTTACTTCATGTATCTTGCAACTCTGTTTGGTCCATACACACTTAGGATGCTATATTTTATTGGTGGATTAACCCTTTTATCATTATATAATGTCCCTCCCTGTTTGTAATAATTTCCTTTGCTTTGAAGTCTACTTTATCTTATAGTAATATAGCTATTCTTGCTTTCTTTTCATTCATGTTTACATGGCATATCTTTTTTTCAATCCTTTAAACCAGCCTATGTATTTGAAGTGTTTCCTATAGAAAGCATATAGCTGGGTCCTTTTTTCAATATACTCTGCTGTTAACTGGTGTAGTTATGCCATTTACATTTAACATCATGATCGATATCTGTCTGTTAATTGGTGTAGTTATACCATTTACATTTAATGTCATGATCGACATGTTAGGGCTTAAGTCTGCCATTTTATTTTTTGTTTTCTGTTTGTTCTCTGTTCCTCACTTCTCTTTATCCTGATTTTTTCTCTTTCCTGCATTTTTTAGATTTCATTTTGATTTATGTATAGTGTTTTTTTTAAGCTATGTCTTAGTATAGCTTTTGTATTTGTGGCTCCAGGTATTCCATTATATATACATAATTTACCATAATCTACAGGTGTTATCATTTTACAAGTTCAAGTACAGAAACCTTACCTCCCATTATATTACTAACCCTTCTCTGCTTATAATTGTCTTAAATATTTCCTCTAATTTAAAACCACATCAGACATTTTTGCTTCAACTATCAAACACTTTAGAAAACTCAAGAGAAGGAAAACCTACTACATTACCCATGTTTTTGCTTACTAAGCTCTTCCTTCTTTCATCATTTCCTTTCTGTTTAGGAAACTTCCCTTGTCATTTTTTCAGGGTAGGTCTACAGATGACAAATTCTCTTAGTTTTTCTTCATCTGAGAATGTCTTTATTCCCCCTTCATCTGAAGGACATTTTCACTGAGTGTAGAATTTTGGGTCGAGAGTTCTTTTTTTTCAGCACTTAGAAAATATTGTGCCACTTCCTTTGGGCTACCATGGTTTCTGATTACAAATCTATTGTAATCCTAATTGTTTTCCTCCTACAGCTAAGATCATTTTTTTCTGGCTGCTTCCTATAATTTTTATCTTTAGTTTTCAGAAGTTTAATTATGATGAGTCTTTTAGTACCTTTTCTCTCCTCTGCTTCTTGGACTTTGATGACACAAATGCTCTGGGGTTTTTTGTTTTGTTTTGTTTTTAATAGTCCCTTAGTTCCCTGAGGTTCTGTGTGGGGTTTGTTTGTTGTTGTTTTTTTCAAGTCTATTTTACTTCTGTTGGTCAGACTGGGTGATTATTGTTGTTCTCTCTTCCAGCTCATTAACTCTTTCTTCTGTACCCTATATTCTAATGCTGAGCCCATCTACTGAGATATTTTGTTTTAGTTACTATATTTTTCAGTTCTAAAATTTCCATTCAGCTCTTTGTATCTTCTGTTTCTTTCCTGAGCCTTTCTATTTTTTCATTTGTTTTAAGCATGTTTGTTAATTGCTCACTGAAGTGTTCTTATCATGTCTGCTTTAAAATCTGTCAGATAATTCTAACATCGTTGTTATCTATTTTTTTATAGTATTAATTTAATAATTCTACTGACACAATGTACATACAATCAATTTATGTTAAGGATGAGGACAGACCTAAGTGCTACCCTTGATTTTTACCCAGTCATTTAAAATTTATTAATGCTTTTTTATTGTCCAGTAAATGGTTTATCTTGGTAAACAGACTATATTCACATGAAAGGAATGCGTTTTCTGCTGTTGTTGGGTGGAGTATTCTACAAATGCCAATTAGAATAAGTTTGTTAATAGTGTTGAGTCTTTTGCATTCTTACTGATTTTCTGTCTACATGTTCCATCAATTATACAAAAAGAGAAATGTTGAAATGTTCAATGTGGACTTGTGTTTTTCTCTTCATTCTTACCAGCTTTTCCTCATGAATTTTAAAACTTGCTATTACAGGGATGCACTTTTAGGATGTTGACTCTCCTCGGTGAATTAACTCGACCACCTTTATTATTATGAAATGTCCCTCTTTATCTTGTCATCTATTGATTGTCTTTTATTCATTTGGTCTGAGATATGAAGCTCTAGGTCTCAGTTAAATCTTCTCATTTAGCAGGTTTTTTTATTTGTTTGTTTGCCTGTTTATTCCATTCTGACATGGGAAGGGGTGCTACACCTTGTTACTACCTCCACCAGCCTCCTCACTTAACTTCTGTTGACACTCAAGGGGAGACACCATGGGAAAGACTCTTGTGTCATTTCCGACACTGTGATGGGGGTGGCCTCATTACTGCTGAATGATGGTGGAAGTCCTGACTCTCCACTAGGCCTCTTCTGACCCTGTTCAGTGGGAAGGCATTGGAATGTCACTTACTGCCTGGTGGAATGTCAGGCTCCCCATGTGGTCTCCACTGGTGCTGCAGGGAAACCTCCTTGCAGGACAGTGGGGATGAAAGTCCTAGCTCTCCACTTGACCTTCTCTGACACCACCCCAGCACTTTCTTACAGTCTTGTGAGGGTAGGAATCTACTCAGCCTTTGCTGGCATGGGTGGGGTTGGGGAGTCTTTTTTTTTTTTTTTTGGTGTTGACTGGAGTAGAGTGATTAGTATCTAAAAGTTTTATGTCTTGTTGGGCTGCTCCTTTCCTGGTCCTTTGACTAGAGAAAACAGGCTCTTGTTGGGTCTTATTTTGTCTGCTCCATTGGCATTTCCAACTTATTGGATTCTTCAGTTCCAAGTCTGAGATATACGAGGCAAAGGAAAACCCAAAGAACTCAACATCATGTCTTTCCTTGGGTCTCAAAGTCCCTAGCTGATCTATCTTCTTATATTTGTTTTATATAGGATGTCCAGGGTTACTAGTTGCACTTACTGGGAGGAACAGGGAAAAGTAGGTCTACTCAATCTTCCCAGAAACAGTTTTCCTTGGCTGGCTTTAACCAGTTTCCTTTGGGGGAGGGGGAGGGGCCTGAACCATATTCCCATGTTACTGTTTACTGATGAAGGACCCACTCCAAGCAACCCAACTGTCTAGAGCCAAAGCATGGCCACTGGGCTAAACTTGAGTATTGACATTTCCTGGAACCTAAATAAAATATTAGCCCACATAGTCCAACAACACATTAAAAGAATATTCTTTGTTTAAGAAGGGTTTCTTCTAAGAGTACAAGAATGGTTTGATATTAACGAATACAATTATATGACTTTATTAATAGGTTAAAGGAGAAAAATCCATGTGATCATTCCATAAATGCAAAAATATGCAACTGACAGAAATAACCATTCTTTCTGAAAAAAATTCTTAACAAACTAGGATAAATTAATACTTTCTTTAAACAATTAAAAAATGAATATCTCCAATCAAGTCAGCATCACACTTAGTAGTGAAACATAAGACTCTTCCCCATTAAAATTAAGTCATCCATATCACCTTTATCATTTAACTTCGTTCAGGGAGTACTAGCCAATGAAACACGCATAATTAGGATAAAAGTGACGTTTTCTGGCAACTATACTCTTATTTCCATGATCTTCCACCATATTGTTTCTCTTTGGAGATGACATTAACTATAAGATTGCTTAGTTCATTCCCTAGCTTCAACCATTTTTCTGGCTTTCTTTCCCTCCCCTTGCTTCATCATCAACTTATAAGAGTTATGACCAAGGTCATCTCTTACAAGCTTTGTATTTCTAATGCTGTGAAAATATTCAGTGAGTATTTTCAGATTAACAATCCAAAATGTGATATTAGAAATTAATTTAATATGTGCATGTTGCATATACCCTGGAAGGTAAATCAGTAATTTTTGTCTTCCTAAGGTTTGTTTGGAACCTAATACTTTGTGATTACACAGTAAGTACCTGACTTGTCAATTTCTGTGATGAGATCAAAATAGCATATCAGAGAATACTCAATAGTTTTAAATTGGAATTTGGTAAAATCATAATTGTTTTTATACCTAAGACCTTTAGATATTCTAAAATATTCCTGAAATGTAATGAGACATACACAATCAAAACGAGGCAAGAGTAACCTGAAAAATTACATCGGTATTCAACTATGATTTCACTTCATAATTGTCACTCTCACTTCTAACTTGCCACACAACTGTCTAAAACATGGGAACAGAATATATGTTTGCCCTTTCACTCACTCCTATTATTTCTAAATTTAGCTGAAACTTATATGCAATAGGTTAACCAAAAGATGAATTTTCTATGTTAAAGTACTTCGATTAATTTGTCCTTCTCCACAGATTTGTAGGACAGCCCCATGCATACCTGACACTCTAATTTAGTTGTGATGATAAATAATAAGCTAAGTCCTGCAACTAATCTGAGATCTATTCACCAAAATCAAATATGTTTTTTAAAACAATTAACAAAATATCAAGTTTCAAGCTTACCTGTGTTCCAGAGTATTTATCCCTGATAACATCCATCTGCCTCTTAAATAATTCTAACACAGCTTTGTAGACCAGCTCATACTGTTCCTGAAGAGCATCACAATCCAGGACAAAGGGAAACAAAGAAAAGAACTTGGTGAACTACAGAAACAAAAAAACCTGGTGAACTCTGAACACCACTCAAATCCTAGGATAGCACACCTAAAAAGACCATCAATATTAGCTGAATTAAAATGCCTTCTGTTTGTGTAGCTCATTTCAGATTTCAAAGTACTTCTAGGTTGCTAGAAACAGCTAAATATTTTATCTACTTCTAGCTAATATACAAGGACCTTGAAGCATGTTTTTTTATGTTTTAACCCCACTTTCTTACTTATCTTTCCCTCTACCATCATCCTTCTAATTCTGTTTTCCTTGTTCACATTTAAATTTTTTTATTTCATACTGGATGCATTTTTCATAAGCCACCTTCACCTATTGTTGAAAAAAGGTAGATTGTGGTTGATGGGTGGTTAGATGGCTACAATATGTATTATTTAACTTGACCCTCACAATTGATCTATGAACAAGCTAGACTATTACCCCTGTTTATAAACAATTGGTCCAAGGTCATTCAGAAGTAATTTCCAGGATTTGGGTTAGAACCTGAACCTTCTGACTCTTAGTTTAGTGCACTTACAACAAGCTAATGAAAATGCTATTCTAGCGAAGACATTAAAGGAAAGTAGACCACTGAATAGAGTTTGGAAATTTGTGGTTACAAAAGGATTTCACCATGGAGAAATGAGACTTCTACAAATTATAAGGTTTGTAGGTTTTTACTACTCCATTTTTGCTTCTGAACCTACTCAAGCACTTGATTTTGGGTCTACTTTTCATCTGAAAGGGCCTATTCAGGGTTTTCCCCCATACTTTACATAGTCTTATACAAACAAAGCACAACTTTTTCTAAAGATAATTTTAACAGGAGAACAGTGTACAGTCTATGTCACCCAGTGCAGCCATTGGTACACTCTTTAATTTTTTTAAAAACAGAGAAGAGTCACACAGGAAGCACTCATCTGGTTACTGTGCTATTTCCTGATTAGAGCAGTGTCAGAAAAAGCAGCTATAACTGGTAAGACATTTGTTCAGCCAGTCGTTGATAATGCCAAAATGCGAAAGCTAACTTAAAATTGTTTCAGCTGTCTTCCAACTCTTAAAAATAGGCCTGAAATTGACTTTCTTCTGAAATAAGGTATGGTTTTATTTATTGATTCAGTGTTACTATTTAATATTATACAAGCAGGTTGCACGCTTTCTGGAGTCTTTATACACTTACATGGAACAGCTTTCTTTTAAGCCTGACCCCACTAAATCAGCTAATGCTTTCATTTCACATAAACTTTCCCCCTCACAGGTTGAATATAGAAAACACCTACAGTCAACATATGAAAAAAATTATTTTTTCCACTGGCTATTAGTGGAAAACCTGTGTGGGCCAGACAGAAGGTTTATATTATAATACCACTTCATTTTTTCCCCTCAATTCACAACTTCCAGATGAAAATATTTGAACTGCCACTATTGATTATTTTAAACATGGTAGGGTCTTGCTATTCAAGCAGTAAAAAGTAGTTCTAACAAATTACGCCGAAGTGTCTGTTACCAAATATCAATAAGTATTTGATGAATGAATGAATTGGTGAGTACCAAACTGTATCTTGAAGATAGAGACCATTTAGAAATATGGGTAAAATTTTTGGTAAGGAAATATGCATGAAATTAATGTAGAAAGTGGGAGATTTGGGCTGGAAATGTTTCACATAAGAGGGACAGCTTGAACTGGGGAGGAGAGAAGAAAACAGGGGAAGAACATTATAATGGAGTGAACAAATGTGAGCAATCTGGGATGGGTGAAAATATTGTGATACATATTATGTTTTTTTTTTAAAGTTTGCATTCAATAAGGACTAGGAGAGGCTATAGAAAAAATAGTAACAGTGGCAACCTCTAGGTGATAGGATTATGGTTGATTTTACTTTCATTTTTCGTAATTTCCTCAAATGAGCATATAGGCTGCATGCTCATGGTTCTGGTACCACCTCCTGAAGTAGACGATAGCTCTGATTTTTCTATGGTTTCAGAAATGAATTACTACTACACAATTACAAGGTAACCTGACCAGCTATTTCTTTCTCATAAGTCCAATAGCTTGTTGAATTTTTTTCAACATCCTTTGTGAGAAATATTATATTGGTTTCCTTTCATATTTTCTGGACAGTAAAATATAAGGAATGAGAGGAATTTGACCAAGGGCAAGGGATACAGGAAAAATATTGGTATATTCTGCATTAGAGGAAATGGGAATGGTTGAACACAATAGTAAATTGGTGTGAGAGGTAAGCAGTCAACTGGTTTTGGATGTCTTACTATTAAACAGAGAAGTGGAGCAAGGCTCAGACACATGTTACAATCCATTCACCATGGTCCATACCTGAGTTTGAACTAATGAAGGCCTCTGTGTTCGCATTTCCTGTATCAAATGAAAAACACTGAAGTTCTCAGGAATTATCTATCAAAAGAAGAAAAAAATCTTACTCCTTTATTCCTATCTTTGTTAATAAATTATGGTCACTTTCTCATAGTCTTGTTACTTCCATGATATCTGCTGTCCTAACATGGGATAATATTAGAAAATGACATATTTTAAAAACTAATAACAATTTTCATCACTGTGCCATGATTTACAGCCTGGTTTTAGAGAAGATGGAAGAAACCCTTCAGGATGATTTCACATAGGGCTGTCAAATGTCTGAAGTTAAGGATATAATGAGGGAGAATGCTTAGTACATGAGCAGGTATGAGAGTTTTACACAATAAAAGAAGTTGGCAGGCAGGCCTAAAGTCTGTATCTTCAACTTCCTACTTCTTATGAGGCTTTTACAAAACGCTGTATAAATTAGAACACAAAGTTTGATTGTGGTAAATTGAGTCCATCTACTAAAGCAGTTTGGATAAAGGGGTGACTGTGTGACTTAGGACAGTGGTCCTTAGACCATACCAGCCATCAGAAGCAGTTGCAGAGTTTGCTGGCCCCACCCCCAGAAGCTTCTGCCTCAATCCATCTCAGGTGGAGCCCACATTTTTGCATTTCTTACAAGCTGTCATGTGATGATTATGCTGTTCATCTGGGGACCACACTTTGAGAACTACCAACTTAAGAACTAATTCAATCATCTGACAAAGCAGGGCTAGAAACTTTACATATTCTAGAAAAGATGCATTGCGGAGATAGATGTTTAACCAGACCATTCCTAAGTCTCAGATTAGCAGGGTAACCGAAGGGGAAGTGCCTGCCAAGAGAGACTCACCCCATCTTTTAGCAACATCCACGTGTAATCAATAGCGCAGATAACACCCGTTCTTCCACAGCCGGCACTGAAATGAAAGATCACAGTAGTAGCATGTATAGTTACAAAGATTGGACCACAGCTGGAAAATTTCACGAGCAGATTTGAGGAAGAAGAAACCTAGAGGGACTGGAACTTTCTAAACCCTACCATTTCTCAGAGCGTATTTGCAAATTGACACTCAGGACAGGTCCTAGGCAACTTCTCACAGCCAGGTCTCTAGAGCTGTACCGTTCACAAGTAACGTATCAGAACAATATTACAATAATTTAGTGATCAGATAGAATTTGTTATAATTTGTTTCTGTGATTGATCTTTTTCTGTCAACCCCTCTCATTTCTAAGCTTCATTCTTTTCTGATCACCTGGAGAAAGTGGGGTGAGGCTCAGGAGCCTACATCCTGTGTGCTCATGCCACCTTAATTCCCAACAAAGTCAGTCTTCCTTCAGTTAAAGCAGGAATCCTGGCCAGACCGTGACATTTGGGTTGTTCTGGGTAGAAGGTTCACACGCCAGCATCATACCTGCAGTGAATGCATATGGGAACACTGTCATCCTCTTGGTAACAACGCACATCCCAGATGAGCTCAAGAATAGGGTCTATAGATGAAGGCACATCGTGGTCTGGCCAATTCTTATAATGAAACTGATAGAGAGTTCGAGTTTCCTATTAAAAAAAAACCAAACAGCCAGAATAAAAGGAGAGTTCAAGGTCAGGACTCCATCCACCTCATTTTACCACAGGATTATTCGACGAAGTAGCATCTACATCCTTTTTGCAATTTATGCTGCTCTCTTCTGCATAGACCACTGGTTACCACATGCCTTCTAAGAACAATTAAAGGTGATTTCAGGTCACTTATTATTGGCCTTTCCCTATCTGCCCCACTCACAGGAGGAGGTAGATCTGAAGACAGTCCAAACCAAGGCTTCCCAACTGGGAAACTTTAAATGGGTCACAGGCATGCTGATCTATTAAATCCTTTTGCCGTAGAGAGACTGGGCAGCCTGAACTCTCTAGGTGGTTCCCAGCCTCTATTCACTGTACAGCCTCTATGAGTATTATCATTTTATATGTGTGCCAAGGTGTGAAATAGACTGGGGAGCACAAATTACACCAAAGGTCTCTTCTGAATATGAAGATTTTTCTAGAACATCAAAAGCCCCTCCATTCTCCATTGTCATATGCCCAGACTGTATCACATACATATATTATTAATATTTATCTGCCTGATCGCTGTAGGCTTTTGAATGTACTGCTCCTGTGCTATACTTACACTGTTGAACTTGACTTTTAGAGTCCTGATTATATAATCCGATTTTCTATTTTCAGCTTCCTAAAAATTAAATTAAAATATGAGTTATTTCAAAGACTAAGGATTCAAAGGCTACTCTCTATAAGTAGGTCCTGGTGCATTTGCTCAGCCATAATGGAAACAGGCGTCATACTTACACAGGATATGGAAAAAGGGCCCAGTTGTAGTTGCATTTCTCCCGGCTCAGCCCAGTAGTGCTCACACTTTTTCTGTTGCACAAAGCAGAATATAGTGATTTCCCTCCATAAAGTCTAGTCTCCCCTGGATTAGAAAACCCACGTCCTCATTCAGAAGCAAATTCAGCTCTATGCCCTTCACCTTGGGGTAGGCACTTCTAATCCCCTTGAGCTTCAACCCTATACGTCATGGTCGGGGATCTCCAAGGATGGGAAAGCAGCCATGAAAGGATATATAAATTACAGACTTCTCAGAAGCCTGAAAAAGCAGAAACAGGGATCTGACACTTTCAGTATTTCAAAAAGAGTAACAGAAATCATATGTCTACTAAGAGCTGCACGGGCTCACTGAAACACCAAGTTCCCTTGATTCTACCTCGAATTGTGTCAACTCAATAGAAATATAATATGAACAACATGTGTAACTTTAAATTTTCTAATAGCTGCATTCAAAAATGAAAAAAGGTGAAATTAATTTTAATACTATGTCTTACTTAGCCAACATATAAAAAAAGTTTTCAACATGTGATTAGTATAACACAGTCATTAGATATTTGACAGTTTAAAGTAAGTCTTCAAATTCCAGTGTGTTTTTAATACTTATAGCACATCTCATTTAATATGCTAAATTTTCATTGGAAATAGTTTAATTCCATTTAGATTTCATACAATGTATAGTTGAAAAAGATTTATATACCCAAGTTGGTCCAAACATACTTAAAGTTTTCTAATAAATTAAATATCAGTTTTTAAATTTAAATTCATAAAATAAAATAAAATAAAACAAAATAATTGAGTTCCTCGGTCACACTAGCCATATTTTAAGTGCTCAATAGTCACATTGGTTAGTGGATGCCATGTTGGAAGCACAGGGTTAGAAGCTCTGACTGACAGTTAAAGATGCGTGACTAATAAAAATGGGTAGATGAATTGTTACTTTAAAAAGCAGACCTTATTTTTACTTTAAAACATAGACTCTACCAGGAAAATGGACAAAAGGGGTTCTTAGGGGTAAAAACAGAAAAAAAAGCTGTGAGAGTCATTGGGTGTTGCTACACTGAAAAATAGCAAGATGAGTCTGATTTTTAACTAGTGACCACTTAAGAAAAGTTTGCTACCAATTTTCCCCCTTCTTTTTCTTCTCTCCTTTACCTTTAGATATACTAGAAAGAACTCACCTTCCCCATTTCAAACTCCATGCATGCCATAACGATGATCTGGGTAGATGAAATAGACACTTAAACATTGATATAGTCAATAAGGGCAGTTAATACATGGGTCCCAGGGTCAGAAAGTATGAATTATTCTTTTCTGTTTTGTTTTTTAACTAAAAAAGAAATCTTGAGAAATTATAAACTGTTGCTCCTACCCTTCCTTCTTTCTGTCCTCACTTCCCTCTTCTCTATTTAAATGAGTTAAATTCTTATTAACAAATTAGCTTGTCAAGATGAGAACTTTCATTTCCTTCAAAAAGAGTGACATCGTGATTTTGACTAAGGAGTGCCCCAAATTCTAGTGACTGACCAAAAAATGCACTAATTTAAATACACAGTAAACCTCAGCCACATGTTCTGGCTTCCTACCCATTCTATCGCTAGAAACAAGAGAATAGAGTAATTAAACTAACTGCTCTTACCAGGACACTGTATTCCCAAATCATCCTCCAAAAGTCCAGGACAGTGGTAGGCAAAGGGCCCTGCGTGGCGATGTAGGCCTTGGGTCCATAGACTCCCTGAAGGGGGACAGAAATGACACGGGGTTACTACAGATAATATCCATTTCTTCTCGCCTAGTGTATTTCCCTCTTTTATTTAGACACCCAGAGAAATATGGTCTAACATCCCACCCCCTGCTTAGGTACCTGGAGCAGATGGAATATGGAGCTTACCTTAATGAAGTTGGCATTGATGTAACTGGAATCCTCATCGGAGGTTATCAGGGAGAGCTCTACTCGGCTATGATCATCTATATTACAAAAGAAAGATATGGTATAATTAAGGGGGCTTAGTCAGAGGGTTTACTGTAAGTCAGGGGCTGACCCTCTGAATAGTGGGTGCTTGTAACTGTTTGAAGAGTGAGTGAGTGAATGAGTGTATTTTTGTAGTCATAAATAGTACCAACTAATTTACCAAAGCCATGTTCCAGAACTAAGAACAGCGAGCAATGGGCAAAAAGAGATAGGAATAATTGAATTTGGGAGAAGGTGCAAGTTTATAAGGAGAAATGAAACTTACAGGGCAAGATATCCTTATATCTGTTTTTCTTGATATTCTTGGGGTTCTCTGCTACAGTGGTGGGATAGGTTTTGTCTGCCTTGTACTTGGTGGATTGTCTTTTCAGCTTCTGTAATAAAATCCCAACAATTAAATCTTTCTGGAAAAAAAAAAAGAGGTAAGAAGCTATCTCCAGAGAGTTTTCTTTCTCCACTACCCATACTTTCCACATCAGCCCTTTCAGCATCCTCCAAGGCTGACTCCATTCAGGACAGAGCCCCAGAATACAAGGACAGTGGAGATCAGCGACATTTGGAGAAGTGAAATGATCACACTGAATGCAGCTGAGCCACAAATAGCTAACACTTAAAGGTGAAACTGGTGAATATTAAAAAAACCAACATCTTCTGAAAACAAACTTTATGTTCCACCCAAAGGATCAGATACTAAAAGTTTCATTTACTTTCTTTACAGCTACTGCGGGGCTATTTTAAGTAGAAATGGAGCTTACACTGAACAAAATCCCTCCATATCTAGCCAAATTTCAAAGATTCAGTCCCAAAAGCAGTCTTTTTTTTTTTTAACATGACCTAAACTTCAAACCCCAACCAAACAACAATCTTTAAATAGCATCAGATTCTGTTGGAAGGATATGATCTGGACCAGCCAGGGGTTAGCACATTATGGTTGAACAAGATTTCTCAACATAGTGAAGTAACTCCTTTAAATTATTCCCATTTGCCAACATTATGCTACAGACCAAAATTTCAGGCCGCAGGAAACGATAATTCCTCTTTAGCTCCTTCTTATAAATCAACCTTGTTGCAAATTTTGTTTAATTTTTTATCATTTCAAAGAAGCCACATTTCATAGATCCAACCTTTGCGAACCCTTACTCAATTTGAGAAAGATTAAGGGAAAAACATCTGCGATGGCCAATAAATATTGGTTAAATTTAACTACAGAAAATACGTTTTTCTTATTTGCCCACTGTTTAATAGTGAATTGGTCACACAGAGACCATTAATTCCTTTGGGTCAGATCATTCTGCACCTGCTCAGTTTTCATTCTCTTTAACTTCCTTCTTGAAATTTCCTCCTCCTCTGGCCCTTATTAGTCTACATTATCTTGTTTCTCCTCTTTCTTCTCTGACTTCTGTTTCCCACTTCTCACTCTTTCTTACTGATTCTGTTTCTATCTTCTACTTGTGAATTATGCAAAGTTCCCAAGTTAAGTCCTCAACTCTCTGCTCTTCTCTCATTATATCCAGTTGATCAGAGACATCATACACTCTCCCAGAAGGCATACAAGAAGTTGATTTATTTATTTAACTGATTAAAATGGAATTATAATAGCAACCCCCATTGGATAAGTCTCAAATGTCTATATAGAGATTCAACTACTAAATTCCTGTCCTCACTTCCTACCCATGTCCTAGACATTTCCACTTGGGTATCTTATTACAGCCTCAAACTCAGCACATTCAAAACTAAAATCATCATTGTTCCCACTGTTAATGCCAACGGCACTATCTTAACGCCAGGTAACCATACTCTAGAAAGTGAGTCACTTTTTTTCCCCCCCTTCCCACAATCCCACCTCTCATTCAGTCAGCAAGTTCCACTGACTCTTTTCATGCAATATCTCGCATCAATATTCCTTCCAATGCCCACCATTGATACTTTAATTCAGGCCCTTTCCCTTAAAGCTTGAACTGTTACAACTGTTTCTTAATTCATCTGCACACTTTTCTGTCTTTCCCCATTGCAAACCATTACGCATAATTATGCCAAATTAGTCTTACTAAAATATTGCTTTCCATATCTCTATCCTGCTCAAAACAACTTCAGTGAATCCCCTTTGCTACTAGAAAAAAGTCTACACTCTTTAGCCAGGTATTTAAGATTCTCCCCATTGGACCCTAAGCTAATTTTTCCATATTCCCCACTGTCCTGACTATTACAAGGCTTCTAAAGATTGACTTGCAGCTTCTTTCAATACTGTACAAATTGATGTCACTGACAATTCGATGTAACGTCACTTCTTTAAAACTATGGTACTTCTTTCTCCTAAATGTATACCTGGTATTGCTTTTGAATTTTTCAACCATGATTATGGTCTATTTTGTTCCACAGGGTAAATTAAGAGAAATAAGGAAACAGAGAAAGAACTTTTCTCAAGCGATTGGCAACAAGCAAAAATAAAAAGGAAGGGAATTGTTCATTATTGTTCCTTAGTTGCTTATATTTCACATAGAGTTTCAACCTGATTATTTAGGAAATGTATCTATCTGTAGTTTACTTATAACTAAACCATTGGGAAAAAAAATGGGTGAGGAAGGGAAAGCCTAAAATAAAGGTATGATGAGAGAGAGATATATATAAAAACGGTATTATAGAATAGAAATTTGTTTCAACAAATCATCCCAATCCATCTTTAGATTTCAAAATTAGTTCAGGGTTACCTGATAACAGCATCTGCAAGAAGAAGAAAAAAGTTGGGGTCACGAGGTATTTGTTAGCTGCGAGTTCACAACACAAAGAATGATCAAACATCTAGAATCTAATTAAATTGATACTTTTCAAATAACACATAGATTAAATTACTACAACAAGTCAGTGTATAGGAATGTAAGCTTTTTCCAACGAAGGATGACAAATGGAACAGACAGCTTTCACCTGTTTATTTGCTATACCACAAATGCCAGCATGTATTGTTCTAAGGACTGTTTTTTTCTGTTTCTAGATTTAGGTCAGACAGGGGTGACTAACTAAAAAGCAAGCATACAGTTGGTTCTTAAGTCTTAGTTTCTTTCCATGGCTAAAATTCTTGTGGATTTTCAAAATTGAATTTAGGAGGAGAGATGATGAACTGATAACTATACTGCATATTTTTACACCAAGATGGATGCAAGTGGGCTAGTTTGAGAATGTAACTAAGGACATGGCACAGATATATGAGTGACTATAAAATATCCACACTCAAGTCATACTAATTTTTCAGCTCTCTTTGCTCATATGCACTTTCAGGATGATCATTTTCAGGTTGCCGTTGCTTCCAGGGCTGCTGAAAAGATGTCAAGTCCCAGAACAGCTCCTTCTACAAGTCTCCAGAGCTGAGCCTAGTGCATACTCCTTGTTACAGTTTTTATTTGTTTGTTTTGCTTTGCTGGCTTGTGGAGTGCTTTCCAGGGAGACTGCTAATAGGGTAAAGCCCTTTTTATAAGCCATGCCTCAATTAATTTGGTAAAATGTTACAGATAAAGATTATGTGTGTATGTGTGTAACCTACGCTTGTTAAGCTGCCTTGACTGCCGCCTTCAATAATGGGACAGGGCCGCTTTTTTTTCCCTACTCCCTTCATCTTCCTGGAGTCATCTGACTGGATGACAAAGGGAGACACTCTTTTAGCCAAAACATCGCATAGGAAATGCCTATAGAATCTGTTAAATTTGGAAAGTGTGAAAGACTTATTTTTCCAGATATCTTACCTTGAGGTCAGACCACTGTGAAGTCTTCCTTTTTTTTAGTTCCCCTTGTCCCCGCACAAAACCCCCAGGCTCCAACACCCCAATGGAGAACAAAACAGAGCAGAATTAGGACAGAAATACTGATAAGCCTCACCAGAAAAGGAGACACTCTGAGAGTAGGAAGGAAGAGGGTATACAAGAGAAAGGGTCATGGAGTAAGACGGGCCAGGAAAGAAAAGATAGGTCTAAGGGAGAAGGTATTTATTTATCTGCAAACCACAAAGTAAGGAATGTGAGTTCCCTACAGGAAGCACCAACAGGAGAAATCAGGGGAAAGTTGCTAAGAGAATAAATAAAGGAGGCGAGTATCCCCCCTGGACCCAGATAAGTTAGAATGTAGAGAAACCAGATTCTGTGTGTACTGGATAAGCAAACAGTAAACTCATTTAGTTTGTGGACTATACTACCCTTTTCCTTTAAGACTGGAAAACAGAGCTGAGGTCCTGGCCATAAAACTCTGCAAATCAGGACTGAGTCCTCTGCATGTTTTTCTCACTGAATAGTACATTAATTACCGGCAAATGAATTAAGGTCTCTCCCCAAAGAGATGAGAAAGAAAAGGAGAAGCACAATACCACAATGGCTCTGCCTCGGAAGACTGCATTATTGTATAGAAGACACAGCAGAAGGTGTATTTTGGAGTGGGACAAATGAAACTTGACCCTCCTGTGCTCAGCTGGAGACAGGAATAAAAGTTAGGCTGTCTCCAGGGTTTCCCCAGGTACCTTCCCACTGCAGGTCAATACTATCTATCCCAAGGCTCCAACGGGCTAGAGAAAGCATGGATGCTAAGAAATGACATTAGGAGCTTGGGCCTCTAAACCCAGTAAATAAGAGTACTACCATTAGGCATGGGGGAGACAGCGAGATCAAACTGGTCCTGCATGACCCAGCTTTATGCAAGGATGGATTTTAGAAATATAATGTAGAGTAAAAGAAGAAAGACATTAAAAAGAACAGCGTGATTTCATTTACATAAAGTCCAAAAACAGGTCAAATGAATGCCTATTGTTTAGCGATATATATATATATATATATATATATATATATATATATATATATATATATGTCTTGAAACCATGCAGAATAACAAAGAAAAACAATAATCTCAGGATAGTGTTTGCCTCTAGTCTGGCGGGGGTTGGGGAAAGTTGTGATCTAGAACGACACCCAAGGGATTTCTGGGGTGTGGACAAAGTTCTGTTTCTTGATCTGAGTGGTGCCTATATGGGTGCCTCCTTTATTACTAATTATTAAATTATATATGTGTGTTTGAAGTACTTTTCTGTGTCTGTGTTAGAGTCTGCGGTTCTTTTAAGTTTAAAAAGTTAAGACCAATGGATAAACAGGGAACAATATAGTGTGGAGGGGCATAGGGAACTAAGAGCACAGGCTCAAAAGGCAGACAGCTTTCCTTCAAATCTGAGTCCCACCAGATTTGAGGGACCGCATGACCTTAGCTAAGTTGTTTCACCTGTCTGTCCCTCGGTGTCCCTACATCAAACACTGTGCTAGTCACTGACGGTACCAAGATAAGCAGAACTATATCTAAGTCTTGCCTTTGTGGAGTTTCATTCTGATGGGAAAGCAGATGTTATTAA